GTACTCTCTACTCTCTCTCTCTCTCTCTCTCTCTACTCTCTCTCTCTCTCGCTCGCTCTCGATTGATAAAGATGAAACTGCGATGAAACTGAAACACCGTTCTTTCGAAAGCGATTCTTTGATTCTTTCCTTCCAAGAATATTCGAATTTTTAATTGATATGCAATTTGATGGAAAAACAAAACGAATCATCCCTCTTGCGCCAATCGATATCGTTCGTTTGAAATATGGATGATATTCTAATCAGAGTAATTTGGATGATCACGCGAAGATGATATTAGTCTCTTCGAACGAAATGATTTCAGGAAAGATATGCGAGAGAGCTAGGGTAGATGGAACGCCCTATATACCAACGTCAAGACTCTTGACAGTTGATCTCGCGAACAGCGGGATGAAAAGAGGGACGTGGCGATGAAACCCTACTCTAGTGCATAAAAATAGATGTAATCTTGATATCTCTGTAACAAAAATATTTGTTGCCATACTGCCGTGTTATTATATAACATTTTGATATATTTTTTTTAATAAAATTCAAATAAAAAAAAAAGTAATCACCGATCATCCCTAAATTACGTTTGAAAAAGCTCGCCACTTTGATTACACTAGAGAGATTCTCCGTGGAGAATGACTATATTTTTATGTACTATCGCGCCTTGTGATACATAATGTAATAAAATATATGTATTATCTGATATTGAAAATAAACTATAGAGGGGGAGGGGGAGTTTAATTTCCGCCCGAAGATCGGTTAACCACCCCGAGCAATTGAGGCGCATCCTGATAACAGACATTATGGCAATTCAGTTCATTATATTTATCATTACGGATTCAATCTGGAGGGAATAGCATATTTTTCCTAGAGGTGCGGTCGATGACGGCTCGACCAAGTAACCCCCGGAGGGCGGTTACTGGGGTGCAAAAATTCCGATAAGTGAAATCCGAGGAAGTGTCGCAGCGAGATTACAATATCCGCGAGCGTCGTCGTAATGTTTAAATTTACACATCCCCGACAGTGTTCATCCCGGGAAGTCATCCCGTTATATATTTCTCTCAACGCAAAGATCAAGCTCGCCCCATCAGCTCGTCGCGTCACATTAACGTTACGATTCCAATCGATTCACGTGGAAAATCATCGGATCGTAGATACTCCTACGGCTTCTTCGTCTTCCTTCCTCGCATTTCGATCCGGTTGGTGCCTTGTCGTCCTCACGAACCTCAGGGGCGTTATGGGAGAGATAGAGAGAGATAGAGAGAGGGAATGGGGACGAGAGAGAGCGAGAGAGCGAGAAGCCGATCGATGCATCGAGGCGCCTAGCGGCCAGGCAGAGGCGGCAAGGCACCAGCCCTCTCCGCGAGCGCAGAGCTCAGCCCTCGTTCTGTTCACCCCTGCCCCGGTATATATGGCCTGCAGCGGCGGCGCGCGACGCGGCTGGTTTCCCTCCGGGAAAGGTACATGATAGCGTGCAGTTGCGCATCGACCTCCGGGGCGAGCACAGGGGAGTAGTGATAGAGGGTGGTGGCGCTCCTCGTGAGTGCATCAACGACGACGGCGGCGGTGGTGGTGGTGGTGGTGGTGGTGGTGGTGGCGCGTAGGCGGGGTTCCCGTCGTCGCTTTCTCTTCTCTGGGGGACTGAACCGTGGTCGTCGTCGTCGTTCGTCACGATCGAGCCGTCGGGGATGTTGTTGTCGGTGCCGACGATACTCACTGCCGATCGCGACTCGCAGCTTTAATCTTCTTCCCTTTCCCGTTATTCCCGCTCGTCTCGTCTCGGCCTCGAGCCAATCATGCTGCCAGCCGAAGTCAACATCCGAATCGCAACGTCGGAATTGTCACTGTGATATGCTCGTTTCCCTGGCAAACTATTATGGTAAATCGACGACAAATTCGACATTGGCCTGTTCTGCCAATTAAATTTTCGACTGCACGTCAGTAGTAGTAGTAGTAGTAGTAGTATTATTATTATTATTATTATTATTATTATTATTATTATTATTATTATTATTATTACGGAAAGTCGAGTGTAACTAAACTTAGCGTGATCGTGTTCACCGCGGATGCTTCGTGCGCTCGTCGAAACAGGTGTTTACGACGCCACCACCTCTCGGTATACATCTTACGTCGGATCGATCGATTTAAATCTCCGACCCGCCTGAGACGCGGGCCGACGCTACAATACAATTAGCTCATGGTCCGCGGAGTAGGACACGGTTTTTACACACGTAAAAGTTTTTGGCTAGATATTTTCTATCGGAAATCACTTTCCGAGGATCATCAAAATAATCATGAGGGATTTCAAATAGGATATAAAAAGTTTTTGCATTATTATATATATTATCATGCTTAAGCATTATTTTAATGATTCAACGTTCACAAATCATTTTCAGATGTATAGTTACATTTTTTATTTTTTCAGCGAAATCATTCTTTCCATGTATATATGTACCCTAATTAATTGATAAATGTCCTAATAATTAGTGCGACATCCTTCGTCAACAAGGTTATATTGAATTAAAAAGGCCTGTATTATTTTGTGATTTTTTTGCAATAGTTAATGAGATATTAATTTATAAAGATTCGCGAATAAGCGCGCATCTACAAATAGATACAATTCATTTTATATGCAGTCATAATTATTAGGAATGCAGCAAGATGTTTAGAGATGTAATCTGTGAATTGTGAATTGTGACGAATGAAAGAGCATCCGCTTTTAGTGTATACTTCCAAATATTTCACTGTGCTCTTAGCAACCGTGAAGAAACAGACTAGCGCGTAACATCCATCTTTATAAATTAATATCGAAAATCGCAAAATGGTGTACACGACTTTTTTATTCAGTATTCATAATTCAGTTTACCTGTCCACGAGAAATATGTTACTAATTATGAGAAGACTTGTATACATTGTGGCATTATGAATTTAAAGTTTTAAAAGTACAGTTATCATTAGCTCTTAAAATTGCAGTCATATTTGTTATAAATATAAAATATATAAATATATTGAATATGTTTATACATTTTCTATATATTTTCTACATATAACGAACAAATATAAATATAAACATATATTTATGTATTTATAAAAATAAATTATATATAAATATAAATATTAAATTACAAACAAATACAATCTCTTCAGAGACACAAATATCAAATTGGCTTTTCACGCTGAACAGGAGATAGCTGATGCCGGAGGAGGATCCGACAACATTGACAGACAGCAGTATTTTTCATCGCTGCACCGTCTCGGTATCATCTCGTTGTTGTTGCTGCTGCTGCTGATCGCTGACGCGTCCAACGGTGGCG